CTTAAACTCCTCCATCTCTCACTCGACTGTTTCCCCATCCATACTGTTTGGGAAACACTGGGGAACTAAATATTGACCAAATGCTAGTTGTTTTGACCAAGTCTATTTTTCTTTTCATGGCTCTTACTGAGAATTAATGTTTCTTAGGAGAAGAAGAAAAAACAACCCAGAATCTAGAAAAAAATGATGATTAAAGGAACCTGAATTCTTGATCTGTGAATTTGTGATCACACTGTAGGCTAGACATCAACATTATGCTTGTCTATAAATGTCCAATTTTATTTGAAATTCAATAAAGAGGGATTAATAATGCAAGACTTAAATGGTCTTCTTGAAGCATAATTTTTAAAAAGGGAAATACTGTATCTGAAGTTAGAAGATCTAGGTTGAGACCCAGTGTTGCCTCTAGCTGGAAGACACTGGTGACCCACTGGTGACCTAACCTTTGCATGTGTTTCTTAGGTGTTTGTCTCAAGGTGAAGAGGATGCCTACTGCTTTACTTAAGGCTATGCTTTTCTTGTCTCCTTGGTAGGACTAACTCATGTGAGAAGAAACACAGTTTCTTTCTACTGTCACATCTTCCTAAAAGGAAGATTTTTTTTTCTTATTACAAAGCTTTGACAATCTCAGATAGATAGCTCAATCCCATAGGAAAAGATACACTCTAAGTAATGTATCTGGTACTTTATATTGCAAAGATTTTTCTTAAAACAGAGAATATATATTATTTGTTTGGGACTTAAAGTTTGGATGGCATGTGTGTGTGTGTGTGAGAGAGAGAGAGAGAGAGAGAGAGACTACTGGGGCTTCAACTCAGGGCTAGGCAATGTCTCTTAGATTTTTTACTTAAGATTTGCACTCTACCACTTGAGCCAAAGCTCCACTTTCCACGTTTTGGTGGTTAATTGGAGATAAGAGTCTCATAGACTTTCCTGCCCAGGCTGGCTTTGAACAGTGATCTCCAGATCTCAGCCCCCTGATTTGTTAGGATTACAAGCATGAGCCACCAGCACCTGGTGTTTTTGTTTTTTTTTTCTTCTGGTTTTTGTCATTGTTGTTGTTGTTTGTTTTTGCATGCCTTTTTCATCTGTCCTTGAAACCAAATAAAAAAGTAAAAATGTTATAGTAGGAAAAATAACCACTATAAACCATGTGCTCTATATTTTAAGAATTTTATCCATGCTTATTGTATTAGTTTGTGTGGATAAATTAAGAAATAAACAAGAAGCTGTGTGCTAGTGACTCATGCCTGTAATCCTGGTTACTCAGAAGGCTGAGATCTGAGATCTGAGGATCATGGCTCAAAACCAGCTCCGGCAGGAATTTATCTAATCTCCAATTAAACACCAGAAAACTGGAAGTGGTACTGTGGCTCAAAGTGGTAGAGCACTAGCCTTAAGCAAGCGAGTTCAGGGACAGTGCCCAGACCAGAAAAACAAGAAGATATAAACAAGAAGAAAAAGTGTGCAAGCCCTAAGGCGGGTAACATTTATTTCTTGCGCATGAAACAGTGCTAGGTGGATGGGTGAGACATCTAACTTTTCTAGTGAGGGGTTCTAGGGTCCTCACCTCTAGCCCTCCATTTTTTCTGTCTTGGAATGGGTTACACTAGCTGAATTTGCATCTTACATTTTCTCTCTCCATTTACCTAAGCTCTTGGTAGTCTATGCTTACTTCACTGCTGCTTTGCTTCAGGGGAGAGTTTTGAAATGTCACACCTTTGAGCAAGTGTCCAGCTGACTGTCCTCTCAACTCCTCTGCTTGTGGTTGGTCTCCTCCCGCCCCCCCCCCTCCATGCTTCCCTCAAAAATCCTTCCGTGTTTCTTCTCTCTTCTTGCAGCCTGGCTCATACTTTTCTCCTTTTCCAGCCTCTATGTAAGTCGCCAGCCTTAGTTAACCAGCTGTTGCTCACAGCAATCTCATTTCCCTCTCACCTTTTAAAGCTCCCGCTCTGGGCTGCCTTTACTCTCACTGTGACGTTTGCTTGTGCCACTCATCCGAGTCTACTTGTTCAAAAGTTATCACTTACGGGCCAGTCTTCCAGGTGACAAAATACACTCCCTTCCCGAACTCTCTTATTTTCCATTTGTTCCGCACAGCAGCTAGAACCCACCTCTTCAAATGGAAACTTGTGGCAAGAAGGTGATTGCTGATCTGGGAAAGAGAGAGGGCCACCTCCATAGAACAGAAGCAAATCCAAAGACCGAGGACGTTCAGTTTTAAAACTAGGATATGACGTAAAGGCTGGTTTAAAGAGATTTTTTTTTCCCCATGAAGGGTCTTGGTTGGGGACAAATCATGCCTTAATAATCAAGGATTAGCCGCTGTAGCGGGGATCAAACTCAGAGACTTGTGCATGGTAGGCTAGTGTTGGTGCACTGAGCAACATCCCAGTAAAGGCAAGGCTGAAGTGAAGGATGGAGGATGAAGTAAGGAGTTCTAAGAGCCTTGATGTAAACCCTTGATCCTTTTAGTAGAGACATTCACAGGTCTTGCAGGAAGTTGCTATAATGGCCAAACACAATGGCTCACACTGTAATTAATCATCCCAGCTACTCAGAAAGTGGGAAATAGGGAGACTCACAGCTCCTAGTCAACCCAGCAAAAAAGTTAGTGAGGCCTCATCTCATCCAGTAAGCCTGGCTTCATAGGAGGCTGGATCATGGTCCAGTCTAGTCCAGGTGAAACCTTACTTAAAAATTAAGAAAAAAATCAAAAAAGGATTGGGGTTATGGCTCAAGTGCAGCTCTGAGTTCAAATCCCAATACTATTAAAAAATAAAAGTTCCTGTAGTTAACAATAAAGTTACTTGCCTAGATTAGAGTCACCTGAATTAATACAGCTATTGAATGAGTAAAATGGACCAGTAAGGTTAGCTCTTATGGACAGTAAACTATGTGTGTAGGGAGGAGGGGAAATGGATGGTCTGTATTGTCAGAGCTATCATTCCAGCCTTTCATTTCCAAGGACTGTTTCTGAGGCAATGTGCTTAGTTGAAATATTTAACCTAGCAGGTTTTTATTGTTATTGTAAAGGTGATGTACAAAAGAGTTACAGTTACATAAGTCAGGTACCGAGCGCATTGCTCTTGAGCAATGTCACCGCTTCCCACACTCTCTCAGCGTCTCCCTCCCATCCCCACCCACAAGTTGCATAGTTCATTTTCAACATAGTGCCCAGCGCATACCACTGCTGCATTTGTTTATCCTTTGTCCCTCCATTTCTGTCCTTCCCCTTATACTCCCAAAGATACATACAGGAACAAACAAGGCAAGAAGAGAAGAAAATAGCAAAAAAAGAAAAAAAATCCTCGTTTCCATTTCCTGGCATTCATTTCCATAAATATTCCTTCGTATGATCAGATGCACATGGGCATTGCACCTTTGTGTTCCATTCCTGAAAGTGTCTTTATTTGGCCTTACTGTGTATGCCTAGTAGTTTTCAAACCTGTTTTGTAAAAACACTGTAACACTCCCAACCCCTAGTCCTTGGTGTCTGCTCTAGCTCTCCTTGGACTTGTGAGAATGACAATAATTAAAAGCATAATTTGTAGAAAGCTTTTAGCTACAGGAAGGCCACATGTCAAACCCCTTCCAGAGGAAGAATCTCTAGGAAGAAAATATGCAGTTGTTATGCCTCTTGCATAGAGATTGTAAACTTGGTGTGAGGAAACTACACCTCAAAGCGGCTAAGGAAAGATGGTGTCCAAAGTCATGTAATCCAAAGTAGCAGAGTGAAGATTAGATCTCAGGTCCACCTGAGTTTTCAGTAGTGAAAAGGAACACACTTCTGATACATACAACATGCATGAACAAACAAGGCAAGAAAGACATCAAGCTAAAGGAAAAGAGGAAAACACCTGTTAAAATGATTTCATGTATAGGCACTGTCCAGATATGGCAAACTTACAGAGATAGAAAATAGGGACAAATAGTAATCGAGTGATTACCTAGCATGAACAAGCTCCTAGGTTTGAGTCCTAGAGACCTGTAAAGAGGAAGAAAGCAAAGAGGAAGAGAAGGAAAAAATAGGACAAAAAAAAAGAGTTCATGATGTGATTTCTAGGCATGAGGTGGGAAATAGGGATTAATTGCTAATATATATATGGTTACATTGATTACATAGTTCTGTGAATTTGGTAAATATTATTAACTGTAGACTTATAATGGATGAACTTTGTAGAATGTAAATTTTCATTGGATAAAATAGTTCTAAGAACTACAGAAGTCAGATGCTAAGCTTTCTGATTTGTACCATCAGACTTAACCCAGAGGCCCACAGAAACTAAGTATCAGGAGACATCTGTAAAGGTTCACTAGGTTCTTCTATATACTTGCCTTTAAGCTTGTTCAAGTTGACCAGCTGGTTACTAGCCATGATTTATTTCGCTAAAGCTAATTGCATTCTTGATCAGCATACACATAAATCTATGTAAATTATGGACACTTCGAATAGCACAGTATTTATGCAGAAGTCTTAAATTATTGACATTGTAAAATAAACTCAAGAGGATTATTAAGGTTCATTTTGTCCTCTGCCTCTGAAATAGCAATACCAGACCTCACTATTCTTTTTGCAAGACTCTCAACCATCCAATGACTCACTTAACCTCCCACTCCAGGGCCCCATTATCTTGGTCAGGATGCTGGCTATTATTAATATTAAAGATAATTGTCCTCAACTCCTCCTCAAGCCATCAGAGCAGTGTGTGGGGTTCATTTTTCCTACCTAAATCCAAAAGGGAAGCAAAACAAACACCCTCTGAAACTCCAGTGTAGACAAAGGTGGTCTGTAAACTCAAATGGACTGAGAAATGAAGTTATTGAAGCAAGAGGGACACAATCATGTTCCTTTGAGGACTCTTGTCCATTGGGACAATTACCAGAGCACAATAATCACTCAGCAATGCATATATGCACATTCTCCTCCTGGATTTTGTGAAACCTCATTTATGTTTATGGATAGACTCTGTTGACTGTGGTTCTGGTGGCTTTTACAGAGAAATCCGGAACACCAGAAGTTTAACTTCCATAGACCCTGATGCCCTGAAAGAGCTCCCCCTCTTGAAGTTCCTGTAAGTGTAACTCCTTTCTCATCCCATCTTCTTTCTTTTGAGAATTAGAATGCTAATGTCTTCCAGTCACCTCCCTAGAATGCTGTCATTTCAATGATGCATGGCTTCAGTGAAATCACTTCTTGATGGGCAAGGAATCCAATGAAGTAGTTCACATATTAAAAACCTATTTTAAAAAATGTCAGCACCAAGTGTGGGAACAAGAGACCCACTCCAAGAGATTTAAAAAAAAAAGAGAAAGTGCCATCATGTGTATATATAGTTTTAATATGTGGTATTACAAGACAAAATGAAACAAAATCTTCAGTGGTAACTGGTCAGTTCTGTTTGGAAGTAGGTACTGAAGCAATATTAGGGTGGATTCCACAGTGGAAGAAAGGTTGCAAATGATAAAGTTTAGTCTTTCATAAGTCACGGAACAAAAATAGCCGGGGTACCACTGTGCATGTCCTTAGTCAGACCTCACCAACTGGCCATGAGTGACCAGAGCATTTTTGCTCTGCTTCATCTTTATGATGTAATGCAGAGTTATTAAGTGTTCATACCATATTATGTGCAACTTTTAATCTACATTTTCCCCTAGATGACACAAACTTGTGTTGGGGGGGAGGGAGAGGGTCTTTGAAATTTTCCTTCTTCTCCTGAACATGTTTTTAGATGCTGTAGCTACTACTCACAGGTCACTGTTACAAGAAAAGGTCATTCTTACCAAAATAACACAACAAAATGTTTATCTTTGAATGGGAAAGCCTGGATTGAATTGAGTAACCATGTGTCCCTTCCTTTTCCAGCCTCTTTCTTTTTCCCATCTCCTTCACCCCCGCCCCAAGCCCCACCCCACCACATACACAAACTCTTTCCAGTTAAAACAAGGAAACATCCCCTCACCACAAACACACACACTCATTCACACACACACACACACACACACACACACACACACACACACACACACACGGAAGACACTGCAATTCCTATTTCTAGGAATTCAGCTGGCATTCTAAGCAGAGCAAATGTATTGACATGGGATTAAATTATTGTGCCTTGAAGGGGCATTGTCCCCTAGCCGGGCACCGGTGGCTCATGCCTGTAATCCTAGCTACTCAGGAGGCTGAGATCTGAGGATCGAGGTTCAAAGCCAGCCCAGGCAGGAAAGTTTATGAGACTCCACTAGAAAACCAGAAGTGGCCCTGTTGTGGCTCAAGCAGTAGATAGTGCTCGTGTTGAGCTGAATGAGCTGAAGAGCACAGGAACAGCGCCCAAGCCCAGAGTTCAAGCCCCATGACCGACCAAAAGAAAAAGCGGGGGAGGCATTGTTCCATCCCACAATTGGAACTTTCCCATCATCACTCAGAAACTGAATAGAATATTTAGGATTTGACTTCCAAACCACCTTTTCAGCTAATATATTTTTCTACTTCCTATATATTAATTTCTTACCTAAAACCTTTGCTTTCTTTCTTTTTTGTTTTCTATAATTTAGTGGCATTTTCAACACCGGACTTCGAATATTCCCCGACCTGACTAAAATTTCTTCTACTGATGTATTCTTTATACTGTGAGTACGTACAACATACAGTATTTGGTACTAGTTCTCTTGTCACTGACAAGAATGAGAGTACAGCATGGTGATGGGCCGAAGCTAAGTAAAGCAATTCATTTGAGGAAGAAAGAGTGCTCAATGTGTGAACACCGATGGCTGATATAAGATGGGGACTGAGAAATTACACTGGGATTTAATCATGTGGGCCACTAGTGATTTTACCAAGAACAGTTTCAATCAAGGGCTAGAGGCTAAGGAAACAGGGTAGGAGTGGGAGCAAGAGAGAACTGGAGGAGCTAAATTGAGAACTCTTTCACCTGACACTGATGGCCCATGCCTATAACCCTGGCTACTCAGGAGGCTGAGATCAGAAGACTGTGGTTCAAAGCCAGCAGAGTAGGAAAATATGTGGCTCTTATCTCTAATTAACTAGCAAAAGAACCAGACACGGAGGTGGGTATCAAACTTAAGAGCCTCACACATGCTACACAATTGCTTCTTAGACACCAAACCTCATCCCCAGCCCCTGTTTTATTTTCAGATTAGACAAATTATACAATACTTGTTGATGGAAATAATTGAAAATATGGACCACTAATCATTATGACTATTTGTCATAGTTTAATATTAAATCACTTTCGCAACATAGTCCAATACATTACATTTGATCTGCTCAATCACCTTTTAAAAGTTACTATTTTTAAGTCAATAAACCAGGAAACTGAGGAACAGAAAACCTACATGACTTTTGCTTGATCCAAGTCCAATGGAGCAGTATATAATCCTAGTAATCTGGTGGGGATGATATTGTAAGACTACTTATTTAGGAAGCTGAGATCTGAGGATATCCATTCCAAGCCAGCCAGTGCACAGCAGTCCATGAAACTCTTATCTCCAATGAACCACCAAAAGGCCAGGACTGGAGTAGTGGCTAAAAAGCCAAGAATGGAGCTGGGTTCAAGTAGAAGATCACCAGCTTTCAGAAAAAACTAAGGAACAGCACCCAGGCCTTGAGTTCAAGACCTAGTATCAGCACAAAAAGAACAAAAAGAAAGAAAGAAGAAAGAGGAAGGTGGGAGGGAAGGAAGGAAGGAAGGAAGGAAGGAGGGAGGGATGGAAGGAAGGAGGGATGAAGGGAGGAAAGGAGGGAGGAAGGGAGGGAAGGAGGCAGGAAGGAAGGGAAGAAAAGTCACAGTCAAACTAGTTATTCCAGTGCTTTTGGTTAGTGGCCCCAGTTCTTTCCCAAACCCTGTGATACAGATCTGTTTTATATATTTGTACAGAAGGGGAGAAAAGTACAGATGCAGAGAGAATTACACAGGTGGAGTTCATCCAACAGAATCAACATGTGCACTGATAAAGCCCAAACTCTTGGGTTCTTTCTAACAAAACAAAAACAAACAAAAAACTGTGCTTTGCTTCCCTGCTACAGAGAAGCTCAGTAAGACATGTAAGCAATCTTCCAGGAACAAGTCTGGCATAGAAAGGTTCTCAAGAGCATATGGCTAGCAGTTTCACAATAGAGGCTGTTTTAAAAACCCTCATGAAATGAAACCAATTCATCCTTTCTCCTGACCCTTCTATTGATGTAGAAAACTCCAGTGGCTATTGACAATGTATTTCAGATTCACAAGTTTCTGAGAACCTTTTATTCTCTTGAGATGAGGAGACCTCAGCCCATTCCCAAAGTTTGTTGGCTTACCATACATGGGACTTAGCATATAAATCTAAGACAGTTCTTATCACTGCAAATGACCACCTCTGGATAAAAGGGATCAGTGAAACTGAAAAATGAATAAGGCTGTGTTACATCAGGTTATTTAAAGTGTCTTTGTGTAACAGACCATTTCAAGCATTTTCTTTTCCAAGTGTTTTTGTCCCTGTCTCTTGCAGTGAAATCACAGACAATCCTTACATGACTTCAATCCCTGTGAATGCTTTTCAGGGGCTCTGTAATGAAACTCTGACACTGTGAGTATTGCTGATTTCATTCCTACCAACAATTAAGATTTTCTAGGGCCATTGTCTAATTTTATAGACCACCCAAGAACCCAAATTTACCTTTAGAGTATGTACTCCATAGTCAACAAAGGATTTCGGTAATTAAATAAGAGCATTTACCTTTGTGTTGTCATAGTCTGTAGAACACTGTTTTAGGCAATGAGAAAAGCATATTTCCTTCCAGCAATGGTTAAGACATTTCTTTCCTGGGGTAGGACAGTCATACAAGATTGTAAACCTCTTTTTTTTGCGGGGGGAGGTCCGGTCGTGGGGCCTGAACTCTGGGCCTGGGCGCTGTCCCTGACCTTCCTTGGCTCAAGGCTAGCACTCTACCAGTTGAGTCACAGTACTACTTCAGGCTTTTTCTGAGTAGTTTATTAAAGATAAGAGTCTCATGGATTTTCCTGCCTAGGCTGGCTTGGAACTACCATCCTCAGATCTCAGCCTCCTGAGTAGCAAGGATTACAGGTGTGAGCCACCAGAGCCTGGTTATGGTTTTCAATTCTTATAATGTGTATGTTGCATTATGAAATGAATTAACTATTTACAAAAACCTTGAATTTTTAATATATAATTCTCACATGTTTGTAAAAGCTGCAGTTTAGAAGTAAAAGTTAATTTAACTATTGGATAAGTTAATTAGCTATGGCTTCTGTGAAACATTGCGATCCTCACTTGGGATACTTGAGTCACCAGGATTAAACTTACCACATAATTACTTAAAACAAAAACAAGCACATAAACAACAATAAAACTGAGATTGTTCTCAGTTCTTTACAATGCTATAGTATGGATGCAAGTTTTAAGATGCTGCATATAGCACAGTCATCTCAAAAGTGACCCCCCAGTGTATCAGCGGCATTGTGTGATTTGATCTTCTTCTGGCTAAGCATTATTATCCTATTTTTAGAGGTAAAGAAACTGAGGAAAAGAAAAGATAGGGCATTTCCAGGAATGCCTAGATACTAAATGGCAGACCCAGGTGTAGTTCCAAATCTGAATTGTCCCATGTGCTTCGTAATGTGCTCCTAGAGTTGGCACTTGGTGAATTATAGTTGGAGTTAAAGCTTCCACAAACTCTGCCTGATTGTGGTCATGGCTGTCATTCATCTCTTCTATTTCAAATGCATAACCGCAATAATCTCCATGGATCTCAAAGTTCCCAGGGCTGTACTTTTTACTCTGCAGAAAGGAAAGACGTGCTGATGGTAGGTAGAAGGTGGTCCTGGACCCAACTGCGCCAGGCCAGTCACCTCCCTACCTAAGGGGGTAACATTTCACATGGCTCCGAAGGTGAAATTAACTAATTGCAAAAATAGCAACAAGTGAAAACATTAAAAATTTTCTATTTGTTTTCTTAGGTTTGTCTATGAAGGTCACCTTAATTCATCTATAACTACTAAGCATTCAAACTGTGATAAATCTTAAGAAAAAAAGGTCAAAAACAAATATGAAATAATATTTTAAACAGAAAAAACTGTTCATTCAGATGAATGTTTTTTAAAGTGTTCATCTCAAGAAACTGCAGTTATATCTCCACTATTGACACCAAGTTAACATTACCTAAAACCCTTTTTTCCCCTTTCATTTCTTGATATATGTGTGTGTATTCAAGATAGGGGGGATATATACATATATTAAGTATGGATATATATACACATATAAATAGAGTCCTATATATGATAAAGAAAAAGGCCATTATTATAGGAAACAATTTTGTAAGACACAGATTTTTTTTTTTTGGCCAGTTGTGGGGCCTGAACTCTGGGCCTGGGCACTGTCCCTCAGCTCTTCAGCTCAAGGCTAGTGCTCTACCACTTGAGCCACAGTGCCACTTCCAGCTTTTTCTGCTATGTGGTGCTGAGGAACTGAACCCAGGGCCTCATGCATGCAAGGCAAGCACTTTACCACTGAGCCACCTTCCTAGCCCAAGACACAGATTTTTAAGCACAAATTTCAATTATGTATGCTTTACATATCAGTTACCACATAAGGATGTATTGATGTTATTGTGTTTGAAAGCATATGAAAGATTGTACTGAATGTTGGATGTGAGCAGTCTTGAAAGATTATGAAAGTTATATTTGAAACAATGGAAGATAAGCTGTTTATAGGTCTATAGTTTATAACTGGAGGTTTATCCTTAATGAATTAGCCATCTATAACATAAAGTGAGTTTCTTACATGGTATTCAGGTTGGAAGACTAGCTTTTTTTTTCTGTACTTACAGCACCTAGAAAAGTGGCTGGCACATAATTGTTGACTGATGTTATGATTTGTATTCTACATAATAGATTTGGAAATGTAACACTAGGCATCCATTGCCTAGAAAACCAAAAATTGATTTTTTTAAATATCAAAAAAAGTATAAGTCTGGTTCTAAGAAAAGGTTTACTGGCACCTAAGTCTGAAGAATTGCTGTTAAAGCTATTAAGTATTATCTTATGTCCCAAACAAGGTATACTTCAAAGTTTTCTTGTGGGGTACATATGATACACCTATGGAAATTTATGCAAATTCTTGATAAAACTATGAGAGCTAATGCCCAATAACTCAAAAAAAAAGGCCAATACTACGTCTCACAAATCATTGACTCTCTTTCTCTCTCTCACTCTCTCTGTCTCTCGTTGTTAATTGTAGGAAACTATATAACAATGGCTTTACTTCAATCCAAGGACATGCTTTCAATGGGACTAAGCTGGACGCTGTGTAAGTCAAGGGTAGCCATGGCAACTGCTACCTTTCTCCACCCTTTCCCTCTCAGGACCAGCCAGTGGGTCAGAATTCTACTGAGAGATAGGTTCTGCCAGATAATCTATCCACTCCAGAGTTAGTATGTTAAGATGTGGAAATAATGCTAAGGAACTCAATTAGGCCAGCTGAAGTAGACATTCACGTTAACTGCAATTCTAACTTTCAAAACTTTTATCCTCAACAAAATGGAGAATTATGGTTACCTGCAGTTATCTTGTAAAGATGCATGTGTGTGCATGAATATGTGCATGTGTGTATGTGTATTTATTTACTGTGTTCGTGAAGTGAAAGGGTATCCTCATACCTAAAATTATGCAAAAAAATTAATGTTTCTCAGCCTTTTTGACATATTTTTAGAAAGATGTCAGTTTGTGTTGGTAGTTCAGAAATAGTTGAAAAACCATACCCAAGTCTTTTTTCAAGATAATAATGCTCAAAACAGCTAAAAAAAAAAAGAGCCTGTTCTCTTTTTATAACACTGCTTGAATGTTTCTTTAATAATCAACCATGTTTTCAATATCATATATTTTTTCAAATATACCTACTCATTTCTGAGTGACTTATTACTCTAAACAATTCATAGTTACTTTTTTCTAGCAATGATTATTGAAACATCTGAAGTCCTTCTAAACTTGTCATGTAGTACAGTGCTTTTCAAACTCCATTGAGCATAGAAATCAACTGTGGATCTTCTTAAAACAGAGATTCTGATTCAGTAAGTTTGGTGTTTTTCCTATTCTCAATCTCAATACAGAATGCTCTACCTCTCATCACCAAAATGTGAGGAAATTTCCCTCTACCAAGTCTATTCTTCATTCTACCCTAGAATTCTCATTCTTGGAAATTTGTTCTTAGATTTAAGCATGTCAGTGAAAACTATCATATGAATTCAATGTGTAATGAAATTGATGATCATGATAAGGAGCCCCAAAGTTGAACAAAAGCAGACTGAGCTGTTGGTGAAGAAAAAAAGATATCAAATGTCCATAATTATAATGAAATATTATACACTTGTGTTCTTAATATAGGACTGTTTCTTCTGTCTCAGTGTTCACTGAGATTTCAAATAAAGGTAATTACCCTAAATGGATTCAAGAATTGCATAGAGCATGTTAGCAATTGGGTGATTTCTCTACAAATATGTTCAGATATCTCTGAGCTCTAGCTTAAATAATTTATCATCCAAAAAAGCAATCATTTGCCTCATGCCAATTTACTGAAATTAGCAGCTTTGACCTCAACTACACCCCCCCCGGCCTTTTTTGGTGTAACTGAATAATACTCTCACAGCCAGTTGAACAAATTCCACACTGAGTTGAAGCCCCAATGTCTCAGAAGCAGGTGGGTAATTAGAAGTTTGTGAGAATCATGTCAGATGTGCAAAAGGACAACATCTTGTGATTACCCATGGAGCCAAGCACACTGTCATCACTCAAGTGTGAAGTTAATAATAACACAATCATGCTTGCTCAACAGATGTTGCACTGCACTCAGTCACAAGTGAAGTCACAAGTTCATTCTTGGGAATCTCTTTCCCATCATCCCTTTATTCATCCTGCTTGGATGTATATTGTTTCTCACACACTGATTCTCTGGAAATTTTGGTTGCCAAAGTCTAGTAACTAGCTACTATCTGTCAGTAAACACTTGAGCAGGCAAAAAAAAAAAGTCATTTTGATATGCCAAGACACTAATCATTATGAATAGGGAAGTCAACACAGTAGATGTGCTAATTAGCATCACACATTAGCTGATTAGAAGTAAAACACCACCGTCTGGAGCAATAGAGAAAGATGACGGTAGAGAAGATTATAGGATTAGGCAAGCTAGTATTTCTCATGGGTAAGTATTTGAACAGCTTGTAGGATATGCTCCAAGACTAGCTTTTTCCCTCTGTCTATTGAAATCTTGAGCACTTTCTCACCTGTTTCTGTTTGTAAAAAAAAAGTGTCCTGAATTCTGCAACCAACAAGACTTTCACACACCTGGCTTGTCTTTAGACAAATATAGGATCCAGGCAAGGGATCTCTGTACTTGTCTGAATATCAAGAGCTATGGGAAAGAAACATGGTCTCCCACTGAAAAGCTCCCGTGTGAGTCTCACAACATAACCAGGTGCCGATCCAAGCTTTCTCTAAAGGGATTGTGGAGATACAGGCTGAAATTCCATCTTGGGGATGAAGTATATCCTTAAACTCCCCAGAGGGCAAGGCTCAGCTGCATCAGCTGACTTCCTCACCATAGTGTATTCCTGTCCTCCACATAAATCACTTCCTTCTACACACTGCATAGAAGATGCCTCTCTGAGTTATATAGAAAGTGGACTTCCATTTATTCATCCAACCAGTCTTTACTGAATGCTCTGTTTCAAGACTAACACATACACCCGTGCAAACACACACGCATGCACGCATATATGCACACACATATTATCTGTCAGTTGAGTATTTTCCCCTTATTCTTGACTGCACTGTTTTTCCCTGTGAGATTCAGAATCTTTTAGGGTTTTAGGGTTTGGGTTTTTTTTGTTTTTGTTTTTGTTTGTATATATGTGTGCCAGTACTGGGGCTTGAAGTCACACCTGATTTTTCTGCTCAAAGTTGGTGCTCTCCCTTCCAGATTTTTGCTGATTAATTGGAGAAAAGAGTCTCACAGACTTCTCTGCCCGGGCTGGCTTCAAATCTCAATTGTCAAGTATCAGCCTTTTGAATAGCTAGGATTAAAGAGGTGAGCCACAAGTACCCAGTGAGATGTATAATCTTAAATCAGGCCAGGGTTTCTTAAACCCTTGTGTCTTTTTCTCCAGAAATAATATCGTTTTCTAGAGGTTCTGAAAGAGGCTTAAGCCCTCCATCCCAACATTGATGAAATATTGAACATCTTACTTTTAAAAGAAATAATCAGATCTTTTTTTTTTTTTTTTTTGGGTCCGGTCGTGGGGCCTGAACTCTGGGCCTGTCCCGGGTCCGGTCGTGGGGCCTGAACTCTGGGCCTGTCCCGGGTCCGGTCGTGGGGCCTGAACTCTGGGCCTGTCCCTCAGCTCTTCAGCTCAAGGCTAGCGCTCTACCACTTGAGCCACAGCGCCACTTCCGGCTTTTTCCTTTTTGCTTATGTGGTGCTGAGGAATCGAACCCAGGGCCTCGAGCATGCAAGGCAAGCGCTCTACCACTGAGCCACCTTCCCAGCCAATCAGATCTTTTTTTTATAAGCCCTTTCCTATGTTTGAATTTAGAAATCACAACTTTACAGAAATTTCTCACTTCTTGTTGCAAGCATTTCTCTGTTGCTTTCTTTATGTTTCCCTTCTCCTTGCAAGGACTAGTTTAAGTTACCCTCCTCCTATAAAATTATTGTCTAGAGTAGATTTTCATTTAGCCTACCAAGATTTGTGACTAATTTACCCAAGCCAGTCTATGGAACGTGGACAATAGAAATCAGAATAGGTCAGACTTGATTCTGATGTGCCCCAAAATATTATACAATAATGGGGCCAGTAAGTGCTTTCTTCCTGGTTTTTAAGGCTTTTGCATCTGTATTTCCTCACCCTCCTCCCTAGACTTCATACGGAAGGTGGAAGGAATCTGAGACCAAATTAAAAGCTAACTGAGAAAGTCCTCAATGCTGTAAACAGTACTACAGGAGAATCATCATAAGTCAGCCTGGGATACACAGAGAGTTCCAGGCCAGTCTAGGATACATAGGAAGATCCTTATTCCAAAAGAAAAGTGCAGGCCTATAATCCTAGCTACTCAGGAGGCTAAGATATGAGAATCACAATTGGAAGTCAGTCTAAGCAGAAAAGTGAGACTTTTATCTCCAAATAACCACCAAAAAGTGAGAACTAGAGGTATGGCTCAAGTGGTACAGCACAAGCCTCTAGTGAAAAAATTCTTCAACTTCTGAAGAACAGAATCCAGGCCCAGTATTGTTCAAGCCCCAGTACAAGGAGAGAGAGAGAGAAAGAGAGAGAGAGGAGAGAGGGGGTAGAGGGAAAGGGAGGGAGGGAGGAAGGAAGGAAGGAAGGAAGGAGGGCAGGCAGGAGGGCAGGCAGAAAAAAAAAAACAGCAAACAAAAGGAAATGCAAAAAGCAGAGTGGCAGTTGCATTTTTAAGCACCTAATTATCTCCAAGAGTTGAGTACCCAAACTCTGGCTTTAGAAAACATAGCCTCCTGAAAGGCCAGTTCATCTCCGTTCACGCTGGCTGCACCTCCTCTGGAACCTTCTTCCCTCCTGTACTCTGGCTGCCTTTCTCAATTTGAAGTCTTCTGCAGTGTTTCTGGTAAACTGAAGTGCTTATCAACCAGTCCCATCCTCAGGGGTGTATTAAATATCAGACGAAAACACTACAGAGTTGGACAAGCAATAATTTAGTGTTACAGTAATTTCTCATGATTAGAGCAAGCCGATTTTTACTCACAGCAGTCAGAGATGAAGAGGAAAATTTGATGAGCTCACCGGTTCTTACTTGATTTTCAACAGTCTGGGAACAGAATGTGATCTGCAAGCTGCATTGTCCAAACAATTCAAGCCAGTGCTGTCCTTATGCTGAACTCAGTTGTCTTTAAAAAAAATAAATTCCTACTATTCAAGATCGTTGTTTTCTCCAAAATGGCTCTTTCTGATTCTCGCTACCATTCACCAAAGAATCTTCATGGACATAATAATTTGAAGGGAATCAAACTATGAGCCAATGAAGTAATCCATTGGAAAAGAACAGATTGGTTGTTTGGGCCATCTTGGTGAGAGCTTTGAATATAAATATAATGATTAGTTCATTTCCTTCATGTCAAACTTAACAATGCTCTATGCTATAGTTTGGACTTTGTCCACTACAGCCTATGATCAAAAGTCTTGGTCTTTAGTGGTAGACCCCTGGAGAAGTGAAGCATGTGGGAAGGTTAGGTGTTTGAGGCTGTGACTTGGAAGGGGATATTGGGACTCTCTTCCTCTTTCACTGGCTTTCTAGTCACCACTATGTGAGCATATTCCTCTACCACTTGTTGCTGCCATGCTGTACCACCTAGCTTCTGCCATGATATGCCCTGCCATTTTACACAGGCTCCAGTAGCAATGAGACCAAACCACCATGGAGTGAAATCTCCAAAAGTGTGAGCCCAAATGAACCTTTTCCTTTTTTTAAGCTGCTTGTCTCAGAAGTTGATTATAGTAATGGAAAAACAAATATTTCCTGGAATCTGGTTTCTTGCTACTGCCTGAAGAGGCTCTATCTGGGCCATTCCTTTGTAAACCCGCTGCCTCAACAATCACGGTCATCAAGAAAGTCAATTTGCCGAATGCCACCGTATTACACACTAAGTGTTCTATTCTTTCATTCCCCATTATTTTTTCTTTAAAGCAATCACACATGTCACACTCAGAGCTTAATGTGCCCATCTTACTACCTTGAAGGAAAGATGCTTTAGTTTCTTTGTTTATTGACAATTCTCATCCAAAAATAGCTAAAAGGGGGGCACTGAATTTGGCACTGGGTATAGAGCAATGACTAAGGCATAGAAGTTGCATTATGATTGGGGAGGAAGATAATACCCAAGCAAATGAATAAACAAATAAGGAGTTACAGATTTTAATATTGCCATGAAGGAAATAAAAAATGTAAAGTTAGAAAGTAAACTGGTGGTGGCTACTTTAGATTAAGTATTCTCCATCTATTTTTTTAATGAAACACTCAAAAATGACTCAAATACCAATTTTTAAGATCCATTGTGTGGAGTCCCAGTACTTATCATTCATTTGGTTAATCCTCATAGTCCCCAGAAGATGATTGGTAAAACTCTTCTTTTGTGTGTGTGTTTGTGGGGGAGGGGTTCATGGTGCTTGAATTCTGGCCTGGGCGCTGTCCCTCAGCTCTTCAACTCAAGGGTAGTGTTCTACCACTTGAGCCACAGTGCCACTTCCAGTTTTCTGGTGGTTTATTGGAGATAAGTGTCTCAAGGACTTTCCTGCTCAGGCTGGCTTTGAACTGCGATCCTTAGAACTCAGCCTCCTGAGGAGCTAGGATTACAGGCGTGAGCCACTGGGCATCCAGCTCTTCTTACCTTTTGTTGCTTAAAAGTTCCTGCTTTGTCCTAGTGGCTTGGCTCTTGTTAAGGAAAAGAGGAACTGCTTTGTGATAGGAAAGATTTTTGAAAAGTAAGATTTTTATCTTAAACTGTTTTCAAGATGGAATTAAGACATGCCCAAGGCTGTTCAAGAAATAGCAAATGGTGCTGGTATTTTTTGAGATTACTGTGTACTGCTAATCTTATTTCAAAACCACCTTCTGTAAATACATTTTACCCTATTCATGCTAGCCAATCACAAGCAGATTGTGAACCTGAAGCAATCTGAGCAGAGGGGCAGAGCCTGCTGCATTAGGGATAAATAGGGGAGCAGCTTGCTTACTTTGTGTGCTTGCTTGCTAGAATTTTGATAGATGGGTCATCCTTTTGCAGAAGTAAATGTTGTCTTGCTGGAAAAAAAAACAAAAACTGTCCCTACCCACAGGGTTCCAATAATGTGGGTCCAAGTAACCAGATTAAGTTTTGCTGTGATGGCCTTGGAAAAAGAATCCCCCTGATTCTAAGTCCTCATGCAGCACTACTATTATTACTCATCATCCTTAGGAACTTTTCATACTTAAGATCAAACCCCATCACTGCCACAATAAAAGCATTATTCTTAAGCAGACATCCTAATGGTCCCCATTGTACTCATTTTGCAAACCAAGGCCACTCACTAGACCTTAAACTAGCGAGGCTAAGCTGTAAGTTATTTTAAATGCATCATTTATTGGGATCATTTGTAACAAAGATATAGAGGTAGATATAGATATGGACTTTGTTTCTTTTTAGATAATTTGGATCTATAAGAGAAAAACAAGCTGGGCGGGCTCATGCTTGTAATCCTAGCTACTCAGGAGGCTGAGATCTGAGGATCGGTTGAAAGCCAGCCTGGACAGGCAAATCCGTGAGACTCTTATCTCCAATAAAAACCACTTGAAAGCCGGAAGTGGCTCTGTGGCTCAAGCGGTAGAGCGCTGGCCTTGAGCTGAAGAGCACAGGGACAGCTCCTAAGCCCAGAGTTCAAGATCCATGACCGACAAAAAAAGAGAGAGAGAGAGAAAAACAACAATGGGAAGGGAAAGGTCGCTTACTAAATCTTTGGGAGTTTTAATTCATTTGGGAGAAATTAGGTTTCAAAATTTAAGTCATTTGGTGACTTAAATTACTTAGAAATTACTGTGCTCTTCAAATGTCCAATGTGTTCTGAAATGGAAAGATCAATGTGTCCATCAAACCCCTGCTATTCAACATACGTTTGAAATCTTATCTGTCGGAACACTTTTCATTCCCTCCCCCAAGCAAAATATGAGGCAAAAAAAATGCTGCCATTCAATTACACTTGAATTTTAACTAAACAACATGACTTTTCAACCTAAGAATGTCTCTGAAATTATATGAGGAACACTTAAAGAAATTATTCATTGTTCAAATTAAATAAGGTTTAAATTACTCTGGCATCCTGTGTTTCATTTGCTAAATCTGGCAACCTTGGCTCAAAGATCTGAATCTCTGACCATCTCTAGTATCACTACCGTTCTCTTCTTGACTTAAACTCTGTCTTCAAAGCTAAATTGACTGGAATACGGGTCAAGATTGAGAAACAACATCTAATTCGGTTGGTATTGAACAGAAAAAGTACTAGCAGCACAACTGCCATATGCAAAGAGACAGGAAATTTAAGCAACACTGTTAAAACTTAGATGTGTAAACTAGACCATGAACCTACTCGTCCTCAATGATTTCTGTCATAATAAATGCATATCAGGCTTGCACAATTGGAATATGGAATGCATAGTGTTTCAGCTTGAAGAAAAGGTATCGTCTAAATTCCCCAAAAGCCAGTTAAAAGTTGGGAAGGCCATGATCACATTTTATTTTGATATTTGCACTAATTCGGTATGATTGCTTAAATTCACCTAATCCATTCTCTTTCGTCTCTCTTTCACTCTCTTGTCTAGCTACCTGAACAAGAATAAATACCTGACAGTTATTGACAGAGATGCATTTGGAGGAGTATACAGTGGACCAACCTTGCTGTGAGTAAGACAAACAAAAGACTATTTTAGCTTTTTTGGAATAGAAGGAGACATGAAGAAGAAACACTGATGTTCAAAAGTGGAGAAAAAGTGATTGTCTACAACAAGCACTTATAACAATATTTTCAATGTTGATCTGTAGTGTACCTATTCAAAGAAAATCCTTATTGAGACTCAGGAGGCCCCAGCATCTGGTATGCTACCCAGATGAGTGGTCAGGCAACACAAAGAAGTTCTCTTCATGGAGATGCTACTTCTTTGAATTTTAAGGCACAATGTCTACAAGTAGGTGAAAGGTCCTCTAGATTTTGTAGAGAAAATACTTATGAATGTATTAAAGAAGAATATTAATAATAGTTTAATTAATATCTAGAAGCACTGAAAATCACTAGGGAAGATGGGACATAAACATTTTTTTTTTTTGGGTCCGGTCATGGGGCCTGAACTCTGGGCCTGGGCGCTGACCCTCAGCTCTTCAGCCCAAGGCTAGCGCTCTACCACTTGAGCCACAGCGCCACTTCTGGCTTTTTTCTTTTTGCTTATGTGGTGCTGAGGAATCGAACCCAGGGCCTCGAGCATGCAAGGCAAGCACTCTACCACTGAGCCACCTTCCCAGCCCCGTAAACATTTTTTAATAGCTGAAGAGGTGCCTGTTTCTGAATTTCCTCTGATTTTTCACCACCATGTGTAATCAGTAAATAGGCTTCTTTGTCATTTTCATTTTCTCCATCCTCTTGATTTTTGCCTAGTTTAGAATCTCATCAGTGAGAATCTAGTCTAGTCCTTGCCAAAATGAAACATAGTAAAAGATGCAAAAGATAATCCACTAGGTCCAAACAGAAACTCTATTTTTTTCTTGTTATGTCAGTGCTGGGACTTACACTCTGAGCTTCTCACTTTCACCCCACATTATTGCTCATGATTGGCACTCTACCACTTGAGCAATGCCTCCAGTCTGATATTTTTCTAGTAATCTTGGAGATGGAACCTCCCCCGACTTTTCTCCCTGAGCTGGCTTTAAACCTCAGTCCTCTAGGATCCCAACCTCCTGACTAGTTAGGATTGTAGGTATAAAGAACTGCCACTTGGCTTGATTTTAGAAATAAGAACAAATTAGTTATGACTATATAAACAGATAAACACTGACCATCACTGTCAGGTAAGGATGGATGCATCTTAGAGAACAGTGGATGATCTCCATTCTAAGGACTTGACTCCTTTGCTCTCTCACCTTTAACTGTATTTTCATTTTTATATTAAATGTGCCCAGCTCAGTGGGTTTATGACCTGCTCTCTTAAAACCTGCTGTACCATGAGGGGAGTTACTGCTAACTCATAGCAAATTAGTTAAATTCATTTTACATTTTTCTTTTTACAAAAAGATCAAAGGTATGTATGTGTGTGGGGTTAATATTTTCTATAGTAAGTCTCTGTCAGAAATTTTCTAAATCATAACCAATGAATGAGGAACATTACTCCTTTTCTTATTTTAAAAAATGAATGTATAAGCTGGTTGCCAGTGTACCTGTAATCCTAGCTACTCAGGAGGTTGAGATCTGAAGATCACAGTTCAAAGCCAGCCAACGGAAGGAAAGTCCATGAGTCTTTTTTTTTTTTTTTTTGGTCTTGGGGATTGAACTCTGAGCTTGGGCACTGTTCCTCAGCTCTTCAGCTCAAGCTGAGCACTCTACCACTTAAGCCACAGGGCCACTTCCTGTTTTCTAGAGGTTTATTGGAGCTAAGAGTAAACACCTAGTAAATATTTGATGCATCGTTACTGAATATCCAATAGTCATGGTTTGTTTGTCATTGATTGTAGAAGTTCAAGGAAATCTGAAAGTCTAAAATAAAGAGAATTAAATGCCATCTGTATTTATATATGTGTCTGTATGTATGTGTGTATATATATATACATACGTATATACATATAACAGGATACATTCATCTCTAACAGTCAACAAAAACGGTAAAATGCCACTAAGTAGCTGCACAAAGGTGTGTCAAGTGAACATGTAAATTCATGTGTACAGTGCAAATAAACCAGTGTCACTCTTTCCATCATGCTCCCTCCTACACTTACTGAGTTAATCAAGATATTCAATCCCATCTTCCATTTTTACCACTTCTATTTTTGAATATTTTGTTTTCTTTTCATTTTATTTTGAAAGAGAAGCTCTTGCTGTTTATAATACCACAGAGAAGAACATACTGAAATTCAATGCCTTCCATAATAACGAGTGTCCTCTAAATTCTAAGTTACATAACTCTCTTTAATAGCATTTAGCATACTGATGAAAATTACCATAACATAATAGTCCCAACTACTATTATAAGAACCTCTAAAGAAGAGGGAATCTTTGCGATATTATCCTTGAGTTCACATTACATGTAACAACAAAAATACACTTTCATAATAATTATTTGTTGCTATTAGATCAAATCAGTCATTTGAAAATCCACAAACTACTTTCTTCTTTGGATAAAATAGGTCTTTGGGGGGCTGGGAAGGTAGCTCAGTGGTAGAGTGCTTGACTTGTATGCATGAGGCCCTGGGTTCGATTCCTCAGCACCACATAAGCAGAAAAAGCCGGAAGTGGTGTTGTGGCTCAGGTGGTAGAGTGCTAGCCTTGAGTTGAAGAGCTGAGAGACAGCACCCAAACCGAGTTCAGGCCCATCACCGACAAAAAGAAAAAAGAAAAAAAATAGGTCTTTGGTTTATGTTGTTTCTTTATGATTACTACAAGTTTATACTGAACATGGCTAAAAGTATGTGGCAAATTTCTTTCCAGTGTGACATAGTCCCCAGGTATGTGAGTACATAATTTTCTATGTGGATTCTGGGCACAATTATGTTTTATTCAGATATAATTTACATATATTGACAAACATGGGGTGGAAGGTTTTTTGTTTGCAGAACTGGGCTGAATTTAGGGGTTTTTACTTGTTAGGCAAGACTCTCCCTTGAGACATACTTCCAATACTTTTTTTTTCTTATTTTTAGTTTATATTCCAGCAAGGGTCTCAAAATAACTTTGCCCAAGGGGTTTGGTCTACAGTTCAACCTCCATCTCCTGAATTGCTAAGATTACAAGCACACACCACTATATGCTGATTGAACAAACAGAATTTAAATGTAGAGTTTAATTATTCTACCCTAGTTAATCCTAAAATTATTTTTATTACCCAGAAAATTCCCTCATGTAAAAAAATTATGTATAGTTAAATTTTTCTAGAATAAAAATCTAACAGTAAACTTGCCAAGTCATAGGACAGATGATGTTAAACTTCATAGGAAGTATGACAAAACTGTTTTCCAAATTATCACCGATTTCTACCAGCAAGCTCTGATATCAGGGCTCCATAATGGCCAACTCTTTTTATTTAATCTCTCTCCCCTTCCCTCCCTCCCTCCCTCCCTCTTCCTCTCTCCTCTCTCTCTCTCTCTCTCTCTCTCTTTCCTTCTCCTTCCATCCCTCCCATCCTCCCATCTCCTTTCTTTCTGTGCTGGAGATCAAACTCAGAACATTGCACTTGCTAGGCAATTGCTCTACCATTGGGCTACATTGCTAGCCCTTGGCGTTTCTCATTTGTTGTATTATTGATCTTGTTGCTTTTTAGTGCCTATTTGACTCACTGTTTAACTCACACTAGCTTTGAAAGCACAATATTGCCCAAGCTGACTTTGAACTCACGCTTCCTCCTCCAGACTGCTGAGCTATGCAGTACAACACCTATCTTTTTGAGCTAGCCATTCCAATCCTTCATCCATTTTTTTGGTCAAGTTTCTGTCTCATTATTGAGTTGTAATCCTATAATTTAAGGCCTAAATTGTCAGTTTGGCTCTAAACTCCAATTCTCTGCCATCTCTAGCTTACATTTCTTTCCTTGTCTGGCTCTTTCCTGAGGAGATGTGGTTAATCTACAAGCTAGGACCTGGGGCACATTTGCCATTGGCATCTAAACTGAGTGCTTATTAAACACCATGAAAGTTATGAATAAGAAGCTGTCTCTGTTTTTCAGAGGTAATAGTCAGATTTTAAAAACATATAAATAACTAACTATAGCGTAAGTATAATAGAAGAAGAACCAGAAGAAGAGATAGAGAATCATGGTTTCTGGTACCAAAGACCTTAATAAGCAGGATGATACTTGAGATGGGCTTCAGGTGAGGGGTGGAGGTACACAGAACAAAGGTAAATCTTCAGAGGAAAAATAAATAGAACCTGGGCCAAAAATTAGTGTTTAAAAGATGTGTTGAAGCCATGTCATGGGAAATCTACTCTGATGAGAAAGGGTGGCGTTGTCAGGGAAGTATCAGTAGCAGTGGCCTAATCCTTTCCAGGTGGCCCTCTTCAACTCACCCTGCACATCTAGCCCATGTCTCACTCTGTCCACCCTCAGTCCTGACACTGACAGTCCTGGGTGCCTCCACTGATACTGCTTTGCCCTACTTGGTAGGGACTAAAGCTCCCTCAGAGCAGAAAGGAATCAAACGCTGAAAACTAAACTAGCCTGCAACATTATATATTATATACACTTTTTAATTATATTCATAATTATCTGGAGTCCTTTTATCTGTAAATCCCAATGTTGATATTTTATTATAAACAGAATCACCACTCTAGGATTTATTTCTTAGAAAGATAAGGTAATAAATTTCTCAGCCATCTACCTTTTAGGGAGTGTCTACTAGTCTCTATACTAACCACTTTTTACAGAAATTTTTATTTCATCTTTTCAACTCCACAGGACTTTTGCCTCTCCAAAATTATAAGAACATCCTCGCATAGTTTTTTGTGATTTTACAGTATTTATCATTTATGTGATGAAAGAAGAGAACTGAGACCACAGAAACTCTCTAGTAAAGGCAAAAATTAAGAGTGTCCTATATCGTTTACCCATGATGTTATAACTAATTACAGGATGTTGGCATTTGGCTAACTGATGGGAAGGATAAGTCAATCAGGGATTAACAATGTCGATAAATAACTTACAAATAG